TCGATTAAAAAAAAAATACCGATGATGTTTTTCTTTATATCCTTTAGCAACGCTAAGTGCTTTCTTGTTGTCATGGTGATAATTAGATCGTTCTTATTTTTTCTTTTCTTTGTGAGATCCTTGCATCAATGGTTCTTTTTTCATATGATATACTTGACTTTTTACGATTTTGGAGATGCATGACAACCTCGTTTCTTATTTTTGGTCTTAGTCCGTCATTTTTGCACCTTATCTAGAATGCATAGGCTTGGTTGATTTGTGAGGAGAGAGTATGTGGCTCTTTCTACATAAGGTGCGATACATAAGGGCATTTAAGTATTTGGAGGCAAACGGCCTATAGACGTTTGAGGCGATAAGCCAAGCATCTTGATTTGTGCTTAAGTCGCTAAGAATGCCTCCGTGAGGTTATGAACATGTTGATGTAGTTAGACAACATCCAAAGGTCGGTGCTAGACTACCAAAGTTTAGAGGGATAATATGTTTAAGAGCTTTCGTTTATTTCACCATGCATGAACTTAGATACGCTTTATAGAGCAAAATCGAAGATATAAAGAATTTGGCTAACTTTCCGCTCAAATTCCCATAAGCGATGCCCATCGATGAGTCATAATTCGACTACACTAATAAATTTAGGACACATGCTTCATGGTAGTAGTGGCAATTGGCGAACATGAATAGAAATCTTTGTGTGATGTGTACTTGTAAAAGAAGTCCTTCTAGTGGGTAGAGGACCCTCGAACGCCGAAGTTAGTGATCGAAAGGTGACAAATCAAGCTAAAAAGACTCTTATTTGATAGTATGTACTAAATTGTATGTAATTTGGTAAAAGTATGGGAGATATATAGGATGGACTTGTTTGGAGAGTCATTTTGGTACCTATTTATAGTTCTTTTGGTGAATCATTTTGTTTGTGATAGGAGTTGTTGGAGGAGAACAAGTACTATATGAATTTTCTTCCCATCTTTCAAAAATTTTATTGTATGTGTAGAACTTGTATGTTGGTCTCGGATCTTGATCTCTCCTTCTCTGTGACTTTTTTTTTTTTTTGGTAGAAGTGAAAGCCTCTTGCATGATCGAAGGTTCAAATATGTCTTTTTTGTCTTAAAATTAGTGAAGGATCCAATAAGTATTAATGTTTTTTCATCATTGCATTGGATTTTACGATAACATTATTATGATTGTGATAAATGATGATCATATTGATATCATTATTAATAATTCTATATTTAATGTTTTGTCTGCAGATAATAGTGGAAGAAAGGAACTTTTTTTTTTTTTGGATCGGAGCAACCCAAGGTAGGAAAATTTCAAAGCTTTCTTTTAAAATTGCAGCTTCCAGTTAGGAAGAGCTGATGGGCTAATCCTTCTTGACGAACCGCGGACTTGGATTGGACCTAATAGATTCTAGAGTAATGGGTTCCTGAACTTTTTTATTGGACTATACTGGAAAAAAGCTCTCCATCGTGCGTATGTGAAAATACTTTATCCGGGCAGCATTTAGTGCATCTTATTCACGATGTCTAAATCAATTAAAAGTCTCCACGTTGATCATTAAGTGATATCTTATCATCCTAGATTTGCTTGTGGTGCTCATTCCCGCATTATTTTAGAGCAAAAAAACTCCATAAATTTAAACGAAAACAAATAAATGCAAACAAAAGACCGCAAGTTTTTGTCCAACAGTTGATGAAAGAAGATCATTATTCAAGATCAGAATCAGTTCAGTGAAGTCATGATGGTGCTATGGAAAAAACGGAATCGAATAGTTGACTATGAGCTGGACTTAGGACCCATTTTTGATCGAAGAAAAAATTCGAGAAAAAAAAAGGTAGGGTTAAGGATTAGATGCACACGTCAGGTGGTGATGGTCGATCACATTTTGTTGGGTTCAATTTTGCATTTTTATGATAGGTTCAATGACTGGACGCTTCTTTTGGAAAAGGAATTCCCAAAAACATACAAGATTTGGATAGAAAAGGTTACAGATTAGTATTATTATTATTATTATTTATAAAGTGTTACGGAAAATTGGCAAGCATAAAATCACAATCTTTTCCGGAAAACAAAATATGAATTATTATTCACAAGATCTCATCAGGAGCATTAAGATCTCTCGAATGATATTGATCTTGTCGTTCTTCTTCGTCTTTTTTTTTTTTTTTTTCCTTTATGTAGGCAATATTTAGTAAATTTAGCATTTGAGAATTGAGATTCATAAACAAAGTACCAAGTATTGGCAGCATATTGCCTGTAACCAGACAAATTTCTAACTATACATGTGGATCATGTGTAATATGTCTGAAATGATTTAACAGGGTGCCACCCACGACCACACCAAGTCACCAGTCAATCTTTGGCGGTGACATTGTGGATTTGCAGTCATGTTTAACTAGTACAAATAATTCCTCTCAATTTTCATATATTTGGATTATCTCTATTCTCCATTGCTTTTCCCACTGGATGGTTCTTTTGTCCCTTGCTGAATTAGCAACGGCACAAACATGGCGAAAGGTCAATCAAGCCTTTTTTTTTACCAAAAAAGATGAACAACGAAAGAAAAAAAAGGTCATTAGACAATCAGTCTATATTCACGAGAGAGAGAGAGAGAGAGAGAGTTTACAAGTCTTGTGAAGCGAATGTAGAACATGTAATTTTTGGGTTGGGTTAGGTTAGGTTAGAAAATCCTTATTTAACAAGATTTTGTGCTTTTATACCACCTCCAAAGTTCGCAACATTCTTTGTCAAAGTCAGTAGATTGCTAGGTTTTCCTTGAGTAGGAATAGAAATGATCCATTTGCAGAAGTTTAACACTGCTATCCTATGATAAGAACAACAACAAAAAGAGTCGATACCTTGACTGACTACGTAACAGTAGTAATTAGTAATTACTAATAGTTTCAGAGTCGGCAAACTACGTAAACCCAAAGATCCCAGTTTCTGTTGATCCAAAAAAAAAAAAAAAGACCATATAACTAATTACATGCAAAGACCAAAAACAACGGTCCGTCAAAACAAGGAAATGGGAAAATTTGTAGAACTTCTCTAGTCTAATATTTGGGAATAAAAGGAGAAACCGAGGAGCCTATGAACACCCAAAAGAGGGACCAAAAGAAAAGAAAGAGAGAAAATTAAGATGAAGGAAAGAAGAAAAAGTTTGATGATGATCTTCCCTACATACCATTGGTCATGCAATCTTAGTCATTCCAGCAGAGAAGCATAACAACACATCTCCTAATGATATACAGTCTGCCTCTACCTTCTCTGAGGAACCCACCAAGTCCTTTATTACATGACATCCTTTTCTTAGAATCTCCAATGGTTGCACTTTTAACCTTCATCTTCCTCTCAAATGTGGGCTTTCAATTCTTTCTCTCCAGTATTGAGGTGTTTAAAAAGACTTCCTGCTCTCTGTTTTTCTTCTCTCTATTGAAGGAATCATTTCTAGCTTTGAGGATCAGAATTTCTACTAGCTTTGAGCGAGTGAGAGACCTCCACTAGCAGTAATGAATGATGATTGAGAATAGTAAGAAAGGCAGTGTCCTTTTATAGGAAAGAAGGATTGCTATCTAAGCTCACCAGGGCGACTAGAAAGCAAATGCGGTAAATCAAGGTGATAAGTAATATTCCCTTTATCACCCGCCACTGCACTCTAGGCTCGGAAGTTCCATTTCATTGACAACCAATACTCTACATCTCTCACTAAATTTTATTCACTTCGTTATCCCTTAAGGGAGAAGTTACTGAAAAATGGGGACCATTATAACACGGGAAAAAATAGCAGGTAATTTTGCACAGATGGGGGCCAAGCCTAATTGTCGAAGTCTATAAGAAAAGGCATTCGACTTCAAACCCTCACAATTGTGGTCAAGATAATAAATAAATAATGTACCTCCTGAAATTATTTAAGGACTTGTACACTTTCACATGTCCCAAAAGACTAAAATTGTGCTTAACCAAAACAGTAATCTAGATGTTATCTATTTGTTTACTATGCCTTTGTTTGGTGACAGCATAACCACTTTTAGGTAAAAGCAACTGAGTCTCGCGTTAATTTCTTAATGAGACCAAAATCAAGACTTACCAATTCTACAAAAGGTCTCTGCATCCATGTACAATATCCACTCAGAAGCTACGTGGTGCTCGCAAACCGCGGCCAAATAGGCACTTCCAATTTCTTTCTCTTAGTTTTGGTAAATTTTCTCGTTGTTCATTACTTTCATGTTAAGTAAATTGTGGGGTTTTACATGAGAGAGAACTTCATCAGGAAGAATACGTGTCCAAAGCGAGCGGTTTTCATTTGGTCATAAGCAGGTCCCAAAGTTGAGCAAAGTTTCTACACTTCACACATAATATAAAAGAGCCCGCTGTATGGTACGGACAAGATAAGGGGTGCACGTGATGTTCACGATACAGGCATGGTCTCTGTCCGTGACATGGAATACAACCTAGTTTATGATTTTTTTTTTTAATTTATGTTTTTTCAAACCACATTCTTTTATTTGTAATACAATAACCTCTACTTATGTCTGGGTTTCTTTATGATCACTGGACCCTCCCATCGCTTTCCCTTTCTTTTGATAGAACAGTGACCTCTTTAACTTTTCACAAGTCCCTCTAATTGACTCGGACTGCGTTTCTAGTAGGAAAGAAAGCTACGGGGCTATGGGCCATAGAAACTAAAAGTCTAATTTTGGCCAAAATGATCCATTTACCAAAGATTTCTAGTCCACTCATCTTTCACTGTTCCTAACAATTCTTCTTAATGAATTGGTAGTTTGCATATGGGAGTTAAAAGGAAAAGTGTTTCTACCAAAATAAGCTTCATATTTGTTCCCGAGTAAAATCAGCATCTAAGGGAAAGAAGTCCTCTAATCATTTCCAATCTTTTTATATTACAAGGATCAGCAGATTCAGCATACTTTATCTTCTAGTTGGCTTGCATAATGATGTCAGTTATAGTAGCAGAGGCCTAGGTTACGTCTTTTTCTTGAACATCATTTTTACCTTCCCAATCCAGAACTGTGCAAATCAACATCTGTGTCTACCTTAATTTGTTCCCTATCGGTGAGTAAGCAGCCAAACTTTAACCAAGTCGGACCCCCTACCTGAAAGTGACCAAACAAAGATACACTTGGAGCGAATGTACGAAAACTTGCAGTGAGGACCGGACCCCTACCAAGACTGAATTGAAAAAAAAGTTGATAGTACATAGTCTCTAAGTGGGATAACTCTTTTAAGTCAAAAATTTGACTAGCCTTCTCTTCACATGTGACAATACCTAAATGCCAACTGTATACAAATTCTGTATCCCTGCAAAAGCTTGTTAATTTGATAGCTCCTCTTCCCGGGGGTTCTATCCAGCAAAACAATTTGAGCAGAAACAAGCCAAGTTTAATGAAGCACAGTACGACGTTATCAAGGCTTTGGTCAGTTTATAATATTACAACCGGTACACAAACTTTTTATCAATTAGCTCAGAAAATGTGTGTATAGCATTACCTGATGCATCAAGGTACAGCTTTCAAAAATGCACTCGAGTGATGACCTTGCCTCTGCACTCGCTAAAATTTCTGAAAATCAGCACTCAATGTTAGGAACACTGTGCATTATTTCAAAATATCATCATAATTCACTCAGAAGGATGTTATAAAGGGATTGAGTGATAACATCTATTAATCTCAATTAAAGCAATTCAGAGACTTTATGATAGGAAAAGTTTATCACACAATATAAGTACAAGATGTCTTCCTGCAAATGCCCAAAATCATATGTATGCAAATAATGATTTCAGTTCATAAAAAAATATCATTGCAGTTTTACCTTGACATATTTACCATATTGCATGTCTCTTTAACTTTTTCATTTGGTTAGTTTTACTTCTTTACTATTAGCAGAATTTCAGATTAAATTTGCATAAGATCAAAAACAGCCATATAATAGAAAAGATAATGACTACAAAGCGGTTAGAAATTCAATGTAGACTTACTGTTGATGACTAACAATTATTGTTGTTGATACTTGAATGCAACATAATCTTCATAGCATCAATATCCTTGAGTAATTTCTCATTCTCATGGTTCCTGCTCTGTATCTCATCATGTAAAGCTGCAATAAAAACTTGCAGCAGATCACTAAAACAACTCGAGAATGATTCACTAGATTTGAAATTTAACTATTTATTTTCAGTACCTATAACAGTCACTCAAGAAATGGTTTAAGAAAAATAAGATGGGGGAAAAAAAGACGAAGCAAAGGAAATCCACCGACACAACTTCAAGCACAGGGAAACCAAGCAGCAAAATCAAAAAACAACTACTTACTCAAAATTTCACTGTTGCATTATTAAGAAAAAAGACAAAAAGATTAATCCAGAGACAATCTCACACGGCACACCCAAAGCGATACATCACGTTCACAAACAGAAGCATTGTTTAGATTCTGCAGATTTTAAAATGTGGACCTGGAGATTGGCATGTTACAAGGACATGATAAGTACACCATTACACATGCATATGTTATGAAGCTAACTTATCAAATTGGGAACGTTCAGTGATGATGCTATACAACATTGCGATATCTTCTCTCTCTCACCATTCAAGAACCATTTTTGGACAGAAGTTGAATATCACTAGTAAATTTGCACTGAGAAAAATGTTAATAGAAAATTCTAAGTCCATATAAACTTCACTCAAATGTAAGACTAATTGAATAGCACTAGACAATCTGCGCTGAGAAATGTTATATGTAATTCCAAGTCCATACAAACTACATTCAAATGTAAGACTAAATGAATAGCACTAGTGAATTTGCACTGAGAAAATGTTAATAAGTAATTCCAAGTCCATACAAACTTCATTCAAATGTAAGACTAAATGGAGCTCCCGGTACATCCTAAGCATATGATCTCCTTTTAAAACTGTAAGAGATATTTGATCGAAATTCAAAAACATGAGGAAGGAAAGCTTGTGAGAGGAGCAGAAACTCCAAAAGAAAAAAACTCAAAGAAAGAAAGAACAGCACTCTAATGGTGGCAGCAAAACGGATCTAGTCCAAACTCTTCTACAAAAGCCAATGACAGAAGCTAATTATATTAAGCCATCAGTACAGTGAACTAAAACCTAGTTAACATTTTGAGTCTGTTCTCCATTTATATGATTAAATATGCAATAAGCTTGAAAGGAGCCAAGAATACATGCACTTTCTCAAAAGGTCCCAATATGAAGAAACAATGTTCCCAGTCTTCCCCTAAAAGAGACATTGAATTCATAGAAAAAGAAATGGAAAAAGGGAATCTAGTTGTAATTCACCATTTGGTTATATCTTCGCAACTTATGGATTGCTTTTTATGTGGAGCTCAATTAGAATAATATGTTGGAGGGAAAAAATCATTGTATTGTATTAATGCGTTCTTGCTAATTATATACTAGAAGAGTAACATGAGATAAGTATTCCAAACTCCATCGCTTATCTAACGAAGCTCTTAACAGAGTAACTAAACAGTATGAGTTACATAATACATATGTGCAACAAACTCTATTGGTTAGCAGATTGTTGTAGTATAGGAGAGAAGACTGAAGACTTGCTCTAACAAGCTCAAATGCTATGTTCAACGAAGGCATGACTTAAATTGTTTCACGACTTCAATCCTTAGGCTAGGATAAACTCAATTTTGAAATTCAAATTTTGCATTTTTTTCCCTCTAAATTTTGAGTTATGCATAGATTGGCATTTTAAGGCTACTTTTGAACTGCCAGAAGTTTCTAAGAGGCATTAAGATTTATGAGTTTTAATCCATTGTTCTACCATCAAACTGTAACATAATCAACCCAAACAAGATCTGAAATTCCTAGTTCTTCAATCTTCCATGGTATAAGACGATTACAATGCTGATGGGCATTTCTAAAAATATTTATCGCAGTACCAGAAAAGCATCATTTTGTTAGCAGTCAGTACAGGGCATCAAATGGAGTGCACTTTCTGAAAGAGCTAAGTAACTTGGTCAAAAGGTCCATATTAAGGGCCTGTTTCAAAATGGAAATCAGGCTGCTCACACACAAAGATCTATTTTTATGTCCTTGTCTGATCCACCAAAGATTAGTTGACACAAGTGCAAATGGAATATGTATGTTTAGTGGATAAATAAATAGAACATCAACAATAAAATTCAAGGCTAGGGGAGGTTACAGATAGAACAACAATGATGAAGAGAAAAAATTAAAACGTAAGTCAAAATATCCAAAGTTGAGGTCTCACCAAGTTAAAGCCTTGATTGGGAAGAAAATAACCCATGAGTTGTTCATGACAGGTTTTGGTACAAGTGCAGTAATGGAGGTTGAAAAACCATTAGATCAACTCCGGAATTCATTTTAAGGATCTTTTCACAATGGAGCTTGATACTAGAATTTAAGTTTGCTCTATTTTTGTGTACCCAAAGAATGATCTTTGCTTAAATCATCTATGCACTAAATCTCTTAATACAGAACTCATTAAATAGAAAAACAAATTGGTTGAATGAATCAGCCTAAAAATGCATGAATGTAAAATATGCAAGTATATCTGTTGGCATGCCATATAAAATAAGTAATCTATTGATAAAGTAGCACAAACCAAAAACAGAAGCGGATGTTGAATAACCATTGAGGCTAGGAAAAAAGATAAGCACACAAAAACAAGAAGATTTTAAAGAAACAATGACTTCAACCATAAGAAGCAAAAGGCACAGGCAAGTTGAATATTTACCAGAGTTGCAATCATGAAGATCTTGAACAATTTCATCCACGAAAGCCAACATCGAATTCTTTAGAGCATTATTTTTATCATCCAAAAGATGGATTTCATTTTCAAGAAACTCCTTCTCTAACAACAAATTCACCACTTCATCATTTTCTCCTTTGTTGATGTCCCTTTGAAATTCTAGGCATTGCATGACAAACTTCTCTCTGTGCAGAATCAATTGACATTCGGTACTAACGTTACATATTAAATGAGCCAAGATAATATCTACCAAAAAAGGAGCAATCATAACTTACAAAAGGAGGCAAAAGCCACGAGAAACTTTATTGAAAAGTTATGATTCTCCAAATGTGAAAAAATAAGGCAATATCCAAATAACCTATCCATGATTTTTTCATACTAATATGGTAATTATTTTGAGTGAAATCTTGAAAAAGGTAAAAGCACCGCATTCAAGATAAATTACACAACTTAAAGATATAGGATGGCATAAATGCTAAACTACTGCTCGTGAATTATTATGGCGTAGAGTAATTCAATCTTTCCATTATTCAGGGTTACAAGGCTATCACCAATATGGTGAGGAATCATTCCATCCTATTCTGATCCAATGCTAAAATCAAGAATTTTCTCAGGTGGTTTGGGTGTATCGGATGGCAACGGATTTTCAATGAAATTCTGGCTAGATTGCTGGTTCGATAAACCTTTGTGTGACTCATTCACACAATTATTCAAGAAAACTGGGAATAGAAATCAAACTGTTTCAAACATTATATATTCGGTCGGAACCACTAGTTCTGGAATATAAGATGGGGATGGGTTTGTGTGCAAGGGATGTGGATCTTAGAAATCAGCTACCACCCTTGCTCTTTGATATTTCTTCATGTCCTAATAAACCTGACAGAATAATCTAAAGATACACAATACGTGTAGGATGCACAGTGAATTCATGCTGCAGAATGGTAGATAACGTTCTAATATTCCGACAATGCTCCATCATTCACTAACATTTTTTATGTCTATTGCACCACCTAAATGGCTGACATCTATAAACTAGTTAAGCACCATTGACCAGCTGTTTCGTAGGGGCATCATAAGCAACTGCTTTTCCCTCTTTGCAACAGCTCTGAAAAAACAACAGTACACCTACTTTTACAATACAACTAAGCTTGGAAAATTTGGAGCAGGATTAATAAATGGGTTGGTACCAGCTGGACAGCCCCGAGCTCAATATCTACACTATTCAAACATTGACCTTTCTTTGCAAAAGGCTACATGCAATGAAAGGTTTGGTTTTCTATGATGTTTTTTGGTCCATCTGGCTAGCTAAAAACAATCTATCTTCAATAACTCAATTATAGACTGAGATGATATTTTTAGCTTGATTCTACACCAAGCAGACACTTGATTGTAATCCAATTGCAAGAAGTTTATTCTATCAGGTTCTGCTGTCTATGTCTCGTTGTTTTGATATTTACTGCGACATTTTGATTAAACATTCCGTTGCTTCCAGTTGCGTATGGTCTCCTTGCTGCGGTGTCTGTTTAGCCACTGGTTAATAATAAACACTTCTCTCCATTCTAATTTAAAATAAATAAAATAATTATGGCCTAGAGTACAAGACTTAATAGAACCATAAAGGAGATAAAACAAATTGCGCTTTCCTAAATTCTCCAATAATGTAAAACAATAAATAAATTCAAGACCTGATGGTTTAAAAAGAAAAGAAAAGAAAAGAAGATTGAATCCAAAAATAAATAAATAAAGATATCGGTAAATACCGCTTGTCGTCCATGCTTTTAAGCATCTCCATCTTCTTCTTTCTTAGACCACAAATATCCTCCTCTAAGAATTTAACAGATTTCTTTGACTCATCTGCGCATTTTTAGGAAAAAAAAATTTTTAAATAGAAGAAATAAAATTTAAGAAAAATAATAATAAAAAATGAATTACAGGCAACAGTGAGTAATCCATTGATTTCAAATTGCGAGAAATAAAGAGTGTTGGTGAGGTCCGATTCTCTGGCAGCCAAAGCGGCCTCCAACTCAGTGCATTTGACGATCTCCGACTCGATCTCTCGAGTTATCTGAATGTTAGCTTCGATTTCCTCATTTACCTAAGCATTCAACTTCGATTAAGAACCAAATTGATCTGAAAGTTTAATTTGGCATTAAAAAGCCCTAGGCCTTAGCTATGGTAATAAATAATTGCATCGAAGAAGAGAAAGTACTACTTGATCAAGCATGTCTTTTAGAGAAGAGATTTGACAGAGAATCGCTCCTGAATCGTCCATTGCGTTGCGTGCGTCTGGTGGACTTCTTGGTCCTGCTCTTCTGATTTCCCGCGTTTTCTATAGTGTTTTCTGCCGTTGAATGTGAAACCCTTTAAAACAATTTTTCTTCTCTTTCATTGGTTTTCCTTTTGGCACACTAAAATGTTTTTTTTTTTAGTTGGAAGTCAAGGGATATCTTACGGTCGTGTTTACTTGTGGCAGAGAATTTTTTATTTTATTTTTTTAGAAAAAAGAAAAAAAGAGAAAACGAAAGAAAGCGTAATTACTAATTAGAAATGAAAATTATTTTTTAAAAAAACTCTTTACAAATAAATTCTCTATGGAAAAAATAAAATATCAAAATAGTTATTTTTCAAATTCTTCACAATTACGAATAAGAGTGTTCAGCTAATGTTTTATTTTTTAAAAAATAAGCTAAACAAAATCTTTATTTTCTATTTATAAAATTATACTTAATAAACATTTTTCCTTACTATTTCATTAAAAAAAAATTTAGAATAAATAAAAGAAAATTTGATGAAAACTAAAAACTCTATTTTCTAAAAGTAAACACAACCTAGACATTAAAAAAAAAAAAAAAAAGTAGTTTCGAGTAAGGTAGATTAATCCGCTATCCAAAGAGTTTTAGAACATGTCTGCCACATCTGTTTTATGCATTTAGATGAATATTTTTCTTCATAAAACATCTTAAAAATAAATTTTTTCATAATAATTTGGTGCATTGAAAAGATTTAATTATATTAGATTAGTAAAAAAGCAAATCTTATTAATCACCGGAGTAAACTCTTGAAATTTGGTGATAGTTTCACAAATATAATATTGAATATATATAAAAAAACATCCAAACAACAAGATATCTTCGAATTGAGTTTTTACAAGTAGGTAACGGATTGATTGAACATATTTTATTCGTGTTAGTTTGTGCAAAATATTTTATAAATTGTTTTTTAATAAAATTTATCATGTTTGATAAATAATGACATGAAAAATATGATAATGGTGAAATGTTGATAGTAAAAAGATTATAATAGCCATGGTTATTATAAGTTTCTATGTTGACATGCTAATTTTACAATGTTGTCACTTTATATTATCGCTCCTTCTTTAAATGCCATTGGGATTCGTAATGTGACATGTGGCATCTAATTTTTTGAGCGCATATGACTAAATTAGTTAAACAAGTATCCAACATAAAGTGCTAATTATATAAATGAAAAACGAGTCCATGTATGGTTAAAGTATAGGTTACTTATATAAATTGTCGTGTACTTATATAAAAGTGGAAATGATTTTTTTTTTAAGAGAAAAGTTGTAAACATAATGAGAAAAAACATATAAAAACATGTTACCTAAAAATAAAAAGTTAATAGCGTGACCTATCTTTATATAATATGTTGAATTTTCAATTTATCCTTATTTCTTAAAATGAATCAATTATGTTCGTGTTATTTAAATAAGTTTTCGATTTGTCATCATGATCATTTTTTTCAACCAAATCATCAAAAAATATCACATGACCTACACGTGAATTTTTTTTTTTTTTATGAAAATGTCTCTCATAACTTAACATATTAAGTTTTCAATATGTTTTTATATAATGGGTTGAGTTTCCAATCCGTCCTTAATACGAAAAAGTCCATGATATTATTGTTAATAATTTTTCTAATAATATGTTAAACTATAGTAACCTTTTTTATTAATTAAAAACAAAGAAAAGTAATTAGTACAAGTTAGTATGTAAGTGTCTTATAAATTGTTATTTAACATATTTTTAATACTAAAGAGTCGATTATATTATTGTCATTATAATAATTTACTTATATATAATATTGAACAAGTTGATATAATATTTACCAATATATTAAATCATTTATATATAAAAAAAACATGTGAATCACGAGAAAAGCGATTCCCGATTATAAATCTTGTATTTTTGATATTTTAGATGTGCTTTAAATTTAAATTTGGGTTAAAATAAAGTGGGGAAACGCGAGACCAATGTTGGACGTTGGTGCTCACACGCACGAGAAGAAGGTTGGTTGGTCGCACTCTAGGTGTGCAACGGAGCCGGACACAAGCCGGACAAGTCACACACTAGGCATGCTATAGGCCAAGTATGCTTAGCACACACCGACCTTCTTGGCAAGCCGGTTGCAAGACGAGCTAAGCCTTTTAACAAGTAGTCATGCACTAGGCATGCGATAGGTCAAAGCCTCACTGTGCAATCACGAGCTGGGCACGCGATTGGCTTGGCACACCTTGTGCACACAAGGCCTTCGACCAAAGCTAGTCACACATGATGTGCCAAGCTTATTAGGCAGGCCGAGTCATGTGCTAGATGTGTAACATGTCAAGTGTTCGTTGGGCACCCGCCAAGCCTAAGGCCGTACAACGATGTGCCTAATGCACATCGGGCATATGCCGGGTATGCATATGGCCTAGGCTCGCAAAGCATGCCGGACGTGCACTCGTACCGTGTAAGCAAGTGCGAGGTGCATACGTATGCCAAGTAACGGGCCAGTCACTTGTTCGCGCTGGGCCCAAGACCAACGCAAAGCCAAGCATGCGTAAATATGCCAAACTATAGGCTTGGGCATGAAAGGTGGTGGGCTCCCGAGGCCCAAAATCCAATGGGCTTAAAGTAGGCCCAAGACTAAAAAGTCTTAAAATTAAAATGTAAAAAACAATTTAACGATTTTATAAAGTGACCAAAATATAGATTTATAATTACAATTTAAATGAAATTTTTTTCCATTAATATGCCATATATCAATGTGATTGAAGTATGGGTGAACAGTATTAATGAGTCAACCTAGTTTATGAGAATGAATGTTTGTAATTTTTGGATAAATAGGACCTACCCGTCTTACCTTGTCTATTATTTTATTGTATTTCTCTTCTCATCTTACTCCTCTCTAATGTAAGTTGAGTTTTTTTTTTTAAATAAATATAAAAATAGAAGATAAAAATTAGAATATATGCAATGAGAAAAGGCCAGAAGTGAAGACAATCCCAAAAAATTTATAATAATTTTTCACCTAAGTATTTGACCTACTATTCTCTTTATGGCTCAAAGTGGCTAGTACTAGTGATCCATAACCATTCATCAATTCTTGAGTCATGCATGAGATATATGTGTTTATGTTATGCGATTAAATGTTAGTATGCATAATAGGACTAATATGATTATTGACTAGTATGCATGCTAGGATGAGACCTATCATATTAAATCCTTAAATTAAATATGAAGTTAATTGTCTTCTAATGTTATGAGGAAGAAACTCTTTTCATCATTGTTGGCTTATTGAGATAACTCAACATCACTTCTTTCTCGAGAGAAATAAATCATGTGTCATGCGATGTCCCCAAACATTGGGTCTAACTTGAAATAAGTTATTAGGTTTAACTTAAAATAAGTTGTTGGGTTTGTTGAGATAACTCAAGGTCTAATAAACTTATAAGCAAAGATTGATGTTTATATAAGATATGATATGATAAGAAGTTAGCATGCCAATGAGATTGGGAATTGCATTGGTAAGGAGTTACTTACTTAACCCTTCATGTATGACTTGTTGAGATAACTCAAGGTTAATGCATGTTATGAGATGGGATCCTAACCCATTAAGGAAATTGAATCGAAAAATTTTATTAAATCCTATATTAAAGGCTATAGAACTTGAAGAAAATAATAAAAATAAACATATTTTTTACTTTTTTAATTTATGCTTTGTTTTATTTTATGTAATTCGATTGACCAAACAAGTATATTTTTCTATCTCGTCGGATTGTATAATATGACTAGCAACATATTGATACGATAGATCATTGATGAAAATAATGCCTTCAATAGCATGAATTTCCTCAATTGGGAAATGAATCCGAGGATAGTCTTTCATCATAAGAAAAGTCTCTATACGATAGAGAAATCTCTTCTAGTGAGCCTCATCGAGATTAAACCGAAGCTTATACGAGTATGGCTCAAATATAGAGATGATGTAATCACTACTCAAAGCATCATACTGGCTACTATGATGTTGGAGTATAGGCACCAACATAAAGGTATGAATGCATAGCAAAGCTTAAAAACTTATTTGAGAAGAATACTAGGTATGAGCACTATGAGATAGCAAAGAAGCTCTTTAAAGCCATAATGGATGAGGGATCTAACATCAAAACGTATGTCACTAAAATGATAGACTATATCGATAGATTGATCGAGCTTGAGGTTGGAATGGATGTTGCATTATCCATTGACCTAATATTACAATCATTGCCCAATAGTTTTGGATAGTTCATCATAAACTTTAACATGATACACATGAAAAAGACTCTTGGAGAGTTATTGTCCATGCTAAGGGAAGCTTAGCCTAAAATTAGCAAGAAGAATAAGAGTTTTGTACTTTTTGTTATTAAGAGAAATGACATAGTGAAAGGCAAGAAAAGCCTAAGAAAAAGAAGAAAAAGTCTTCAATTGTGCCTATTAGAGGGTTGAAAAAGCTTGAGGCTTAAAATAACGCAAAGGATGTAGTCTACTTTCATTGCAACAAGAAAAGACATTGGAAGCACAATTATAAGAAGTACCTAGAAGATGTGAAAAAGAAGAGTTCTACAATCACCTTAGGTATTTATGCTATTAAAGCTAATTTTTTTATTTTAATTTTACCTCATGGGTATATGATACTATATGTGCTCGCTCACATGTTTGAAATGTGCAGGAGTTTAGAATAGGAAGGAAGATAACTTCAAGAGAGATGACCTACACAACTATAATAGATCAAGAGTTGAACCATTAGTTGTGTATATTTATGAGCTAGCACCACCATGTAGGTGTGTACTAAGGCTTAATTATTATTTTAGTAGAGACTAAGGATGTTATTTTTATTTCTTGTTTTGAACAAATTTTTCATTTTTAAGAATATTGGTTATTTTTAAAGATCGAGTCTTATATGAAA